GAGCCTGGGAAGGACGAAAACAGCCTCTCCCCCACCCCCAGAGGCTTCAGGAGCTTCCCTGAAGCCTCCGGAGCACAAAAAAACGGCCCTATGGCAAATCGGAAATTCGGGAACGGACTTCCGGTTTGCTCTTCGGGCAGTTTAAGCCCTCCGGAGCCTTCAGGGGCCTTCTGGAGGCTTCCCTGAAGACTCCGGAGGATGAAAAATGACCCTAAGAGCAAACCGGAAGACCGGAAGTCCAGTTTGTCCGTTGGGCCGTTTTTAGTCCTCCGGAGGCTTCAGGGAAGCTCCTGAAGCCTCCGTCGGAGCGGGGGAGGCTGTTTTCGCCTTCCCCAGGCTCCTATAAAGCCTCTGGAGCTTAGGGAGGGCGAAAAATGGCCTCAAGAAAAGGCTAAAGTCAGCTGGCCAGCGCACGCATGCACGCTGGCCAGCTGACGGGGCAACGCCTTGCGTGCCCTGACAAATGGCTACGCAATCCACCTGCGGCACGCGTGTCATGGGTTTGCCATCCCGGCTATAGGCTATTGCAGCCTCCACAAGCCCCATGTTCCCTGTTTGCTGCAAGGAGGTAAGTTGCTGAGAGGCAGAATCCAAAGGGTGGGAGACCGTGGGTGGGGCTACATTCAGTGTATAAGACGCACCCAAATTTTCACCCTCTTTTAGGGGAGAAAAAGGTGCATCTTATATTCCAAAAAATATGGTAAGTTATTTTATAATATTATTTTCAAACTTCGGAAAGACTGAGCCAGAAACATCTTTATTTTTCAATTTGCAGCTCTTGGTGGTGATGGACAGAATTTGTAGATTTCCGCTCTCCAGCCCTCTTTCAAAGATTCTAAATGGCTTGGAAATTCTGCTAGCCAAATCTCAGGTCAGATCTTCTATGTATAAGTGAATACGTAACAAAACTAGCAAGAAGTAAGAAGCTGTTCTAATAGTATAGGTAGCCTTTGCTTAACAACTGCCACAGTTATTGACTGTTTACAAATACAACAGTAATAAAACAAAAGCCTTCATCATGAAACTGATTAAGGTCTTGTCAGTTTCAGGCAGGACATGCAGCTGGTCCCCAAATTCTAATCTAATTAAGATCACAGAGCTCAGCTTCTTCATTGCAGTTAGTACATTTAGGTAAGCGCTAAAATGCAGACAAAAGCGGCTTGGGAAGAGGTAGCTTTTTTAAAGTAATGTCCCTGCCCTACAAGGGGGAAAGAATGGGAGGGGGTGGGGGAAAACAGGTCAGGCACAGGTCACTGTTTGAGAAAACTTTACTGAAATCAGTGATCTTCATGCTTGCACTCTCTCTCGTTTACTTAGTAAACATTTTGCCATCACTAAAGAAGGACTATCTTTAGTAGAACAAATTTCTAACAAAGTGAAAGATACTAACATTGAAAAGGAGCTCTGTGCCACATTCTGAAATAGACCCGCAGGCTCAGAATTAAGTATTAGGGTAGAGTTGTCTTTTCTATTACCTTAGCACAAAGATTGATTTGATTTGATTGATTTATTACATTTATATGCCGCCCTTTTCCCCAAGGGGACTCAGGGCGGCTCATAATTCAATCAGGGAAGGGGGTACAGACGGGGGGATAAAAAAGACGAGACATAACAATATAAAATTTAAAAACACACAACAACCATACCATTCGAGAAGGGGGGCAAAACTCTTTAGCCCCAGGCCTGTCGGAACAGCCAGGTTTTAAGGGCTTTGCGGAAGGCCTGGAGGGTGGTGAGGGTTTGAATCTGGACTAGTTGCAGTCTCCGAACACTTTTCAAGGATAGCCCCATGTAGAGCGCGTTGCAGTAATCCAGCCACACCACACCCAC